TTCTGTATGGCTTCTGGTAGTCCTTCGTGATTTAACACCTTGATGCTCACAAGGGTTTGCTGAGATGCAGAGTGTATGACAAAGTTGCACCTTTGGCCATCCAGCTTTCCTGTCACATAGACACTGTGTGTGCTTGGCATTTTACATCTAGCTGTTGGGACTTTCATTATGGGGGTTGGTGAGTGTCCTTCAACACCAACCACTAGTGGTCTCCTTGAGACTGACTTATTGGTAATGTTCCTCCTACACTGGCTCCTCATATGTGCTTGCTTCACTTGAATCTTAAGTTGTGGAGTGTCCAAGGCATCTACGAACTGATCCCTCAGCAATAACTTGAGGACATCGAGTGGTGCAGTTGGGTAGGCCTTGTGTGCCATGCTTTCCAAGTCCTGAGCCAGCTCTTGCAGGCTCTTCCCTTTAGCATGGACTCTCGTCCTAAACCTAGCCCTGTAGACTTCTGACTGATTTTGGGTTTCGTCCCTGTGTTCTAGAGCCGCTACCAGTGCTCTATAGTTGTGTTTGTCGTCTGCTGACAACTGTCCAAGTATTTCCAGTGGTTATCCCTTCAAGCTCGTTGCCAGATATACTGCTTTCTGCTCCTCTGTCCATCCATTCATCTCTGCCAGTAGCTCAAATTGTGCTCTATATGCTTTCCACCGTGCTTTCCCATCGTATTCCTGTGGTTTCCTTCATACTGGATCACTCCTATTACTCACATTCATATCTGGAATGTGACTTCTAACGGGACTGAATATGTCTACATTAGGGTTTTGCTGTGGGGTCTGGACGGGGCTTGCCATTGTCTGGGGCTGATTAAGTCGACGGTTAATGTGTTCTCCTTGTGTGTAAGACAATAAATCATCCTTTAATGTAACTAATTCGCTTTTAAATTTACTAATGTTTTCCATTTGTACTTCTTGCCAGTGTTGTAGTCTCTCTTCTTGATTATTTTCTTTCTCCTCCAATAGCTGTTGTAATCTCTCTTCTTGTTTATTTTCTTTCTCCTCCAATAGCTGTTGTAATGTCTCTTCTTGTTTATTTTGTTATTCGAGCTGCCACTGTTGCAAGTTTTCTTGCCACTGCTGTAATCTCTCTTCTTGTTTATTTTGCTGTTCGAGCTGCCACTGTTGCAGGTTTTCTTGCAACTGCTCTAATCTCTCTTCTTGTTTCTTTTCTCGTTCTTCTTGTTTCTTTTCTTGTTTATTCTCTCGTTCTTCTTGTTTCTTTTGCTGTTCTTGTATTGCTGCCATCAAATCTGCTAAGCTGTAGTTTGATTTGCCGCCTCTCGTTTCCATTTTTTCTCGCCCCACTTTCTGATACCAATTTGTTACGCCTCTGTTCGTTAGTTAATTTTCCGTATAATTTCTTCCCGAATAAACTTTACCGATACAAGTACTTTCTTAAATAAAACTGGTTTATTCTTTCTGAATACAACTTTGCGATACACTTAATTTCAACAGTCGCGGTATAACAAACGCTACAACTCACAACGAACGTCTCACGTGCCCAACAATATTCTCTCTGTCCGCAGTTCAATAACTCAATACCTTCCTCGCCTCAGTTCTTACTGGTTTATATATACAAGACTACACTATATCTAGAAGGATCCCGAGATTTAAGGAAGGGACGTGAATGCTCGAGAAGGACGTGGGGTGATATTGGTCACGTGACCTCCGCTGACGCAACAATATATTTGAATATAACTGTGAAGATAGTGATCATGATGTCAAGGACAAAGAATGATAAAATTACTTGAGACTATGAAATTATTAAAACAGGATCAGGAGGATCATGAGAGAAAAGTTTTTAAAAGTACCAAAAAGCACATGGTGGATAATTAAAAGATGACCAGAAAATTAGAAGAAAGGAATATGAAGATAAATGAAAATGAAGGACAAATGTACAGGAAAATAAAATAGGGTCGAGAACAAAGAGATAAAATATTAGAAGAAAGGGACAAAATGTTAGAGAACAAATAGTGAAATAAAACAGCCAAGAAAAATAAGAGAAGATCAAAAAGAAAGTGAAGAAAAATTAGAAGAGAGGGACAAAAAACTAGAAGAAACTGACAGGAATTTAAGAAAGGAGTTCAAGGAAAGGAACATACTGTTTAGAGAAGAGTTAAAAATGATAATAAATCTGATTGCAGACAACTTCAATAAAGCTATAGAAGACTTATAGGAGGATTACAACAACTTTGAAGACAAAAGTGAAGTAGAAAAAGCACGGATGACCGAACACAACATCTAGAAAAAGAATTATTAAATGTTAAGATTAAACCAGCCATGCCTGTTTCTGCATGGGCTAAAAAACTCTTACTGAAAAAACCATATGCTACAGGATATGGGATGAGAGAACTTATTTGATCTATACTTATAGCAACTACTAATATGTCATATCTTACTGAAGGCCTTTCTTGAACTACTCGAGCCATGATATTATTAAATCAGTTCTAGAATTTAGTTGATGAGTTCAACATTGGCCAATAAGAAACCAACAGATTTTGATAAGAAGATGCCATGGAAGTCATAATAGGGTCAGTGTGAAATAATGTCCAGAGTGAAAAACAAATAATCCATCTTGCTGCTTATCTAAAAGGTTAAGCTTTGACAACATAACTAACCTTCCAACTGAGAGCTGTAATGACTGTCAATCATTGGTAGTAGCCTTACGAAACAGGTTTGGAGTGTTGCACCAGAAAGAAGTATCCAGAGTGGAGTAACATTCCAAAATAAGTTATGGATGAAAAAAGAGACCTTAGCCAAACTTATGGAAAATTTAAAAAGGTTTAACCAACA